CCCCCCCCCGCCTCCACCTTCCCGGCTCCTGGCCACTCAGGCCTCCCCGCCAACTCTGCTGGCTTGAACCCATGCCACCAAGAAGCGCTGGGTGCTGACTCTGGCCCAGGTACGTGGGGGGCCTTGTGTGGACCTCACGGTGGCCCCCTGTGACGCAAGGGCTTCTGTGATCCCCATTCAGCACGTGGGGAAATGAGGCTCGCAGGCGTTAGACGAGGTGCTCGAGACACTCCCCAAAGCTGGCCCTACACGTTCATCTGCTCTTACCACCGTTTCCTGAGAGCCCCAGACCCAGCACTAGGAGACGGTCTCCCACTCTAGGTGGGGCGTGCCCACCTCTCAGCCCCCCTCAGGCCTGGCACCCACCACCCCACCAGCCCCAAGCCTGTCCTCCTGTCCTCCTGAGCGACCTTGGCTAACGGGCCCCTCCTCTCTGGGGAAGTCCTCGGCCCTCCAGCCCCTGCTCAGTGCTGTGGCTAGCTGTGCCTCGGTTTCCTCACCTGGGCGGTGGGGATTATAATACCTGCCTCCAGGGTGGTAGTGAGCTCCTCCTTCCCTTCCTCAACAGTTCAGGTGGGGCTCACTCAGAGGAGCAGCACCAGCTGATTGAGGAAGGAACCTGTCCCCTCCTCCTTCCAGCTCAGGCCCGATTATGAGAGGCAGATCTTGCTTGGCTTTTTAAGCACCTGCTGTACTTGAACTGTTCTCCGTTGACCTGACAACCCCCTCCATTTACTCAGCAAACAGAGAAGCCCTTTACGACCTCAGTCTTTAATGACGTCCAGGAGACAGGAGACCAGCCAGGCAGGTTGGGGCTGGTCAGGGAGGTGTCCCCAAAATGTATTACATGGCAGTTGGGGCATAGAGTAAACTTCAAGGACTGGGAACACACCTGTGTTCAGATGTAAGCGATGAGTTCTATCAGAGCCAAATAGGTTCTGGGGATTAGCTACTGTTCTTGGTGATTCATGTCTGTAAATAAGGGTTGAGTCAATTCACATTTGCAATTTGATAAGTAGTTCCTAAAAAATTATTTAAAATAGTTAAGAAATACAAAGAGGCACAAAGAATAACAATATCCAAGTACCTACCTTCAAGGTACATTCAAGGTAACATTCTGACAACTAAATGAAATGTATGATCCTTGCTTGAATGAATCATGGATGGGAAAAACAAAACCAGCCACAGAGGCCCTTATTGGGAAATTTGGGGAAAATTTGATCGCAAGCAGTAATCCCATATCGATGTTAAATTTCCCAAGTGTGATCATGACATAATGAATAGGCAAGAAAATGCCCTTGTTCTTAGGAGGCACCAGCTATTTATTTGAGGGTGAGGTGTCATGACGACTGAATTTATACTCAGATGATTCAGAAAAAAATACATATATGTATATATAGAGAGAGATAAAGCAAATGTGTCAAAAATGTTAACAATCAGTGAGTTTGGTGGGGCCGGTATCATGGTATTATTCTTCCAACTTGTCCGTAGGTTTGAAATTTTTCAAACTAAAAAGCTGGTGGAGGAGAAAATAAATACACTAGCAATATAAAAAAAAATGTAAATCTCAACAAAATAAGATACTCCCAAGGTAGTTGAAGCCCCCTGTGTGGGGCTCTATGAGAGATCCCTGGCCCAATTTCGGGGTTCCTCATGCCTGCGCATACCTTTGTACTCTGTGAGTCATCTTTTCAGTGGTTTGGGTGCCCAGTGTCTGTCTCCCCACCTGCCAGACGGGAATCCTGGTGAGGGTGGGGCAGGCCAGGCCTTCTCCTGTGGGTCCCTCCCAGGCCATGTGCTGTGCTGGGCACCCAGATGAGCCCCCTGGTCTCTGTGTCTGGCCCCTTATTTCCAACCCTACATCCTGGGCTCTCAGTGACACCCCGGTCTCCCTGGAAGTTCTATCCTGCAGCCCCCGTGCCTCTCTCCTCCGAGTCTTGCCATGCCTCTTTCTCCGGGCCTCCGCAGCATGATCCATGTTGGCCTGCCTGGGGGCTTTCTCCACCCTGGCGGGGGTTGGGGGGGTGGGGAGGCATTCCACCGAATGCACATGACAGGCCTTCCTGGCAAAAACAACCAGCCCTTCAGTTTTATATTAGAACACACTTGACTCTAGGACTGAGTGGAATGCAAAATTTGCATGAATCTTAAAGCTAAACCATGGAACTTTAAATACCTGTCCTGTTCGGGGAGGGCTGGCTGCTGCCTGTGAGTGGAGTGGCCCTCGGCAGGTCACTGCCCCCTTGCTGTCGGGTGAGGATGAACACGCCAGCGCTGCCCACCTGGTGGGGAGTCTGGGACGATCAGGGGAGATGGCAGAGGGGAGAGAGAGCTTGGAGAAGTGAATTAGATGCGGGGGTGTGTGCAGGGAAGCCCCTGGGATTAATAGCCACCCTCACAAAAGGGGAATCGAGGGGAACCTATGTGGGGGGGGCCGGCTCTTGAGCCCCCAGCTGGGGGGAGTGCAGTCTGAGTTCTCCCCCAAAGCCATGGCCTCCAGGCTGGGCCTCTGCCGGCACGGGGCACCACCTGTGTCTGTGTCCATTCCTCTCCTGAAGTTTGCTTTGTCTTCCTCCTGTCCCTGGGTGCTCTCATGCCCCCACCTCCCAGGGCCAAGGCACCAATGCGGCCCTCCCCTGCCTCACCTGAGGCCCCAAGCCCCTCCTGCCGGTCCTCCCCCAGGTGGTGTGCGCCAGGTGCTCTGACTACCGGGCTGAGCTCCAGTACGATGACAATAGGCCCAGCCGCGTCTGCTTCCACTGCTACACCTTCCTCACTGGAAACGTGCTCCCCGAGGACAAGGAAGACAAGAGACGGGGCATCCTGGAGGTGAGGGCCGAGGGCGCCCCCCCAGCAAATGTGTGCGGGCACCCACCACGTGCTGGCCCTGTGCCCGGGGCTGAGCAGTGAGCCAGCCGCAGCCACACGCCCCATCCTTCTCTCTGCCCGCGGTCCCAGGGAGGTGGGGGAAGACCCCTGCACGTTGCAGCTGAACGCAGCTCCCAGGTTTCAAGGCAGTGCCCTTCTGCGGACCTCTGCCCGTTTCCCAGTCGTCCCCATTCCCTGCTCATGCCTCCCCTGCCCACTAGACCACATAGGCCGCTCCCTTCTCAGGCCCCAGCTCTGTTCCCTGGGGCCACTCCCAGGTGATAAGCACCCCCAGCACCTGCCCCAAGCTCGGGCTGGCTGGGGCTTGACCACAGCTCTGCCACCGACCACAAGCCCCTGATGGGACCTCTCTGAGGCTCGGGGAGCCAAATGACCCCTCCCCGTAGGGGTGCTGCAAGGATTAGAAATAGCGATTGTCAAGCCCCCGGTCCAGTGTCTGTCACACAGTGGGTGCTCCGTTCCCCAACAGTCTCTCTCTTTCTCTGGTCCTCAGAAAGTGTCTGCAACAGGGTCCGAGCAGAGCCTCATGTGCAGCTTCCTGCAGCTGGTCGGGGACAAGTGGGGGAAGAGCGGCCCCCGGGGCTGGTGTGTGATCCCCCGGGATGACCCCCTGGTCCTCTACGTCTACGCTGCCCCTCAGGTAATGACACCCCCTACCTCCCAAATCTCAGCCTTCTTGCGGTATGTATGGGTATGGGGAGTATTGTTGGCCCCATATGCCAGAGGAGGAAACTGAGACCCAGTGAGGACGTGGTTCCCTCCAACCAGAGGGTTAGTGGCTTTCAGAGCTGGGCCCAGACTCCCGGTCACAACAGCTTAGCCCAGCGGGCAGCCAGTCCTCCTCCTCCCTGAAGCCCTCCCACCAGTCCACCCTGCTTCATGGGTGTTTGGGGAGTTGTCTGTTGTGGCTGTTACCTTCACACTGGCTGTCCTAGGCGGTGGGGCTGACCAGAAAGACAGTGGCCCATGGCTCTCTCCTCCCCTCCCAGGACATGCGGGCTCACACGTCCGTCCCCCTGCTGGGCTACCAGGTGACTGCAGGGACCCAGGCAGACCCCCGGGTCTTCCAGCTGCAACAGTCAGGCCAGCTTTACACCTTCAAGGCCGAAACTGAGGAGCTGAGGGACCGCTGGGTGAAGGCCATGGAGCGGGCGGCCAGTGGCTGGAGCCCCAGGGGACCCAGTGATGAAGACCTGTCTGACTGACCCCCAGCTGGCCCCTCTCCCCTTCAGAGCCTGGCTCCTGGCCCGGGCTGACCCTGCGGCCTCTGTGATCCACCACCCTAAGCTGAGCTTTCAAATAACCGGTTTCTAGGGGCACTTGGCCAGCTCAGTCTGTAGAGCGTGCGACTCCTGATCTCCGGGTCATAAGTTTGAGCACTGGGTGTAGAGATTACTTAAAAAATAAATAAATAAATGAACTAGAAAAAAACAAGCAAGCCACCGATTTCCAGTCATTGGCGCCCAGACTGTGTGTCTTGATCTGGGATTCAGAAAACGTGGGTCTGTTCCTTGGGGGAGGGGGTGACCAAGCATCCCTGTTTACCCAGGGCTGAGGGGGTTCTTGGGGTGTAGGACTTACAGTGCTAATACCTGGAAAGTCCCAGATAACCCAGGACTGTTGGTCACCAGTATGGTTCTCTGCCTGGGCTGTATACATTAGCATCACCTGGGGAACTTAAAAAAAAACGATGAAGGGGCACCTGGGTGGCTCAGTCGGTTAAGTGTCTGCCTTCGGCTCGGGTCATGATTCCGGGTCCTGGGATCGAGCCCCATGTTGTGCTCACTGCTCAGTGGGGAGTCTGCGTCTCCCTCTGCCTCTGCCCCTCCCCCCGACTCGTGCATGCTCTCTCTCTGTCAAAGATAAATTAAAAAAAATCTTTTAAAAAAGATAAATAAAAACAAACTAAAAATTAAAAAAATACCAATGCCCATATCCATTACAAAGATTTCCGATTTCATTGGTCTGGGATGAGGGAGGCACGGGAATGCTTTAGGAGTATCATCCTGAGTCTCAGCTCGGGCTACCCAGATGAAGAAAGCGAGCAAACTAGCAATGGTTGAGCACCTGTCAAGAGCCAGACATGATAATAATTAGAATAATAAATAATAAACATCTACTGGGCCAGGCACCGTGCTGGGTGTGTCACGTGGATTATCTCATTTCACCCTCAAGAGTTATAATCCCCATTTTCCAGATGAGGACACTGAATCCCAAAGAGGTTTAGCTCGAGGTCCTACGGCTGGTGGGTGCCAGAGCCGCGTCAAAGCTCTTTCCACCAGGCAAGCAGAGGGGAGGAGAGTGGCAAAGAAGGAAAAGGTG